AATCAGCTTGCATCAACAAGTGGGTCTGTGTGACTGGGGGTGACATTGGCAGGCGGGCTTTGTTGAGGCCCCGACAGGGGGACGTGCACGCCTCGTTGTCCACCTGGGGGAGGCGGTTGGGCCTCGGCCGACAGTGCGGCGACAGTATCGCCGAGAACAAACAGGCAGTTAGGCTGGGAAGGGCCAAGTACATTAACATAACCGGGCCGAGCCGCCGGGCCCTTCCAGCACGGCCAGCACCGCAAGGGCCGCCACTCCAGTCCTCCAAGGGCTCAATGAACTTAGGCTGCGCCGCTGCGGTCGCCATATTTCGGTTTGGGCCCACTGCCACTCGACGGGGGTGACCTTAGCACTTAAAAACCGCAAAGCGCCCCGCAGCGCTGGCCGAGCCGGACCAAGCAGTGCCAGAGAGAGAGAGAGAGAGAGAGAGAGAGAGAGAGAGAGAGAGAGAGAGAGAGAGCATCGGAATCTGTTTGTGCCGCCCAGGGCTCCACGGCCGTCGATGCGTTCCGCCGAAAGTAACGACCGATCCCGGACGACTCTGTGATGGCTTCGCCGCTACACTGCTTCGCCCCCGAAGATGGTAACCTCTTGACCTCGGTGGTGGGCTCCCCGGCCGACGGGCTGGCCGCGTGCAGAGCGATAACGCAGCGCGCGGCGTGCCAAGTTGAGCCCAAACGAGGCCTGCAGCCACCTGCCCCTCCCCTCCCCCCGCCCTCGTCAGCCCGCCGCGGCCCCGCGCCCCCACGGCCCCACGGCCCAGGACCTTGGCCCCCGCCACATGCATATTGAAGTGCCGGCCGGCCGCCAAACCCTCAACAGGCTCCCTCATTACGCCCGACCTAACCTGTCGAGAACTCTCGACAGCCTGTCTCTCTCGCACCCACACGGATCGCCTAAGAGTTGGAGAGAGAGAGAGAGAGACCGGTCGTTTGGAGCCAGTCTGCAGAAAGTGGGGCCTCCTGAAGGCAGTAGTACTCTCACCGTGCGTGCAGCTGGTCTCTGAAGGTCTTTCCGCACTGCCGAATGTACACGGCCGGCTGCCTGGCCCTGCACTGCCTGGCCCTGCCTGGCTTTGGCTGCGGGTTGGGTTGAACCATTGGGTCTGAGCTTCGCGCTGCTCCGCGTTGCCGCGCGTCTCGCAGTTCAGCATAACAAGAAACTCGGACCGCCGCAGGTCCGCGCAGGTACCAGGAAGCTGTAAGGGGCTGTGCTGGCAGTGGAGTGCTCCGCGGCACTGCGGCGCTCTGCGGACGCCGGGCGGAGTGGACGGCCACTCCAGAGTACCGAGTGCAGGGCGGGGCGGGGCGGGGCTGCTGCCTCGCTCTGCGTCCCGGAGTCCTGGAGTCCCGGAGTCCTGGAGTCCCGGAATCCCGGCTCACTGCTCATTTCCGGTTGGCTTAAATTGGAACGCCGCGATGGACCCGCCGCGCAGCGCGCGCTGCGGTCGGGACCAGCATCGGCCATCGCGCTGCATTTGTGACGGCGAGCTGGAGCCGCAGCCCCGGCTGGGGAAGGCCGCAGGGCCGCGGGGCCGGAGACGGATTTGGATGCGGCCCTCAGTCCCTTCCCCTTTCCGCCGACACAATGCCAATTGTCTCGATGGTCTCGATGCGCGCCATCTGCCGCTCTGGCCGGGCTGGCGGGGCCGGCGGGGCCGGCGGCCACGGCCTGCCCTAAGTGCCGCCCTTCCCCGGCGGGCGGGACGACGGGCTCCTCCAGGGACTCCTGGGACTCGTTGTCCTGCAGCGTGAAGTGGTCGGCGTGCAGCAGGTGCACGGCCAGGAAGTGGTCTCCAGGCGTGGGGAGGGGGGGGGGGCACTCCAACGTCGCCCTGCGAATGTATCTTGGCCGATTCCCGCCCGGAACCCGTTACCCGTTACCCCTTCGTTTCCCCGTCAAATACCTTCCGCAGTGGAGCGCGGCCCTGCCGGGCCCTGCTGAGGTACGGCCGGCCCGCCCCGCCTGGCCGCGTTGCCCGCACCCAAGCCCTGCAGAGCCCTGCGCACAATACCGCGGCCCGCACACGCCCCGCACGCCCCAGCTGAGGCCCCGCAGAGTTTATCCGAGTTCCGCGACTCTGGGCGCCCCAACCTGGGGCCGCGGGGCTGCGGGGCCTGCACGGGATGGGACGCATAGTGCACAGTCGTGTCCCGGGGGAAGGATTTCAGATTTGGGATTTGCCGGCGGCAGTGCAGCAGCGCCGCTGCACGGCTCCACGACACACAGTGGGCCAGAAGACCAGTGGAGGCGGCCAAAACTCTGAACGCGTTTTGAGCTCCAGAGTCGCTAAATAGGCCTCGAACCGAACGTGTGACCCCACCAATGGATTGCTCTCCGAACGAGGAATCCATTGGTGGGGTCACACGCTCGGTTCGAGTCCTGTTCAGCGACTCTGAAGCTCAAAACACGTCTAGAGTTTTGGCCGCCTCCACCGGTCCTCTGGCCCACTGAGCGACAGACTCCCCCTCGGCCTCGACCTTCCGTCCGCAATCCCACGATCGGGGTGCGTTTCGTCCTTCGCGGCCTCCGTGGCCTCCTCGTCGAGGCTCCTGGCCGGCCCGGCCCCCTCCACGAGCGGCTGCCGCCCCCCCCCCCTCCCAAATTGCCCCGCCGTGACCGGGTCATGTCACACCGCGGCGGCGAGAGGGGCGCTCGAGCGGATACGGCGCGGATTGAATACGGTGCGATACACGGCAAAAAACAACAACATCAACACAGAAGGGCTCGCGTGCTGTGTTTATTTTTGTTTTCTGTTTCTGCTCGGCCCCGCGCACGGCCGTGCGGGACGCGAGGCTTTTATTTGGCGCGACTAAACGGAATTGGCAGCGAATTGCACTTAGTTAGCGTGGCGGGGGGAGGGGGTGGGGGCGAGGGGGGCGAGGAAACACGACGACCACAGACTGGAGGGAGACAGCGCCAAACAGCAACGCCGACGACGACAACAACTCCCACCGAGAGCAAACACAGTCCGAATGCAAACCCAATACCACCCCTACCTACGCCGGGGAGAAAAAAGATGGATTTTATTTATTGACGTACACAATGGCCGGCTCGCGAAATGTTTCCACCTCAACCTCTTGTTGTCGTTGTTGTTGGTGCTGCTTTTGCTGTTTTGTTGGGTGGGGCGGCCCGCTGCCCGCGGCTCTCTCCAAACCGTCTGCTGTCCACCCGGTTTTCCGATGGACAATGAACCCCCCAGTGAGCCTTTACTTCCGAAAGACGGAGCAACTAACTTTGTCAATTGTCAATAGTATTCAACGCTCGAGAATCCAACTCGTTTCGAGCGATGCCACACGTTGACTGTTTGACACGCACTCCCAACTGCAACCCGCAGCCAGCGTAGCAGCAGTAAGGGAAATCCGCACCTCAAGGCGCGGGTGAAATTGCAGCCGAGGAGCGCGGAGGTTGCTCGCCGTGATGAAAACATTAAAATGCATACGTAGCCTGCATACGTGCACGGCCTGCAGCGAGGTGCGTCGCTAATTTGACAGCCCAGTCTGGCTGGAGAGGGCCGCGGAGATGGCCTGGAACCCCTGGAACCTGGTTGGGGCGGCAATCTCGCGGAGTGTTCTCCAGGCAGTGAGGTACACTGGAAGTGGAAGGAGGTCGGCAAGGCACTGCCAAGAGTGGAGGGATGCCACTCTCTGCAATGATGACGTTTCATCGGGAGCGAGCTCCGATTTATACAAGCGTCTTATCAGGTATAAAATCTGGTAGAATCTAAGTCGGCATAAGTGAGTCTCTTAGGAGTTGCGTGTTGCGCAATCTCAAATGGGATCGTTCTGCCTCTTTTTCAACCGTGAACTTTTCGAATGATCTGATTTGGTGTTGGGGGCCCTGCCTGGCTTTGCTGAGGGCTTTGCCGGGCGCGGCAGATCGGTTGGGACCACAGCCCGCGGCGTGAGGCGCGGCGTCTTGGTGCGTGGGCGCGCGGGTTCAAGCCGCGGGTACTGCCAGGCCTGGCAATGGCCTGGAGGAGTTGTAGGTGTTGACACAAGTGAGCGTGATATCCCACGAGTGAGGATTCGACCCCCTCCATCTCCCCCTTTCTCCCCCCCCCCCCACTCTCCCCCTCCCCTCCCCCGCTTCTCCCCCCTCCCCTCCCCCGCTGCCCCGCCGCCGCCGCCGCCGCGGGCCGGCCAAAGGCAGCGAGGTGAGTACACAATATCAATCCTCATGTGTGGAAGTAATAGCTTCATGTTTGTATAGTTGAGCTCCGGTGGCGGCGCGCGGCGTAGCAGGGCGCGGCTCGGCAAGGCCCGGCGTTCAACTATTTACCCACTACCCGGAGTAGTTTGGCGCGAAAACGTAATCGCTTCGGATGGCTGCTGTTGGCTGCCGTTCGCCATCGCCGCGCGGCAAAGTGTTGTTTGCTGATGCGCGTGGACGCCCAATGTGCCCAATTTTCTCACCGGGCTGTATCAATCGGCCAATTTATTCATTTATTCCCAGGGCGCCATCGGGCGTCGCTAATTCATCGCGCGCCACGAATCAGCTCCTAATTGTTTTCGGTGTTGACCGTACGCCGTGAGTGCTGGACGCTGTGCTGGACGCGGCGCCGCGCCAGACTCGGCCTCGGGGATCACTCCCTCTCCCGGACTACTGAAAAATGAGAGTCATAAGGCGGCCTTAATTACGACCTGCATCGCCTCCTCCTTCTCCTCGGCTCCGCCCCGCCGCCACCGCCCTCGAGCCGTGAAGCCTGAAGCCCGCCACCGTCGCACGTAATAATTTCCAAAGTGAAATTGAAGCCATTACGTGAGAACGGATGAGGCCCCGCCTCGCCGCGGCGTGGCGTGTCGTCCCGACGGGGCTAGCGACGGCCGCCGACTGCCTGCTGCAGACTTTCCGAGAATCTTATTCTGTCGAAATAAAAGCGACTCCCGGAATCAGTCTCCATTTTGGCCGTCCAGCCCGCCCGTCGTTGTCTCGTGCCGCAGCAGAACGGAGCACCACCGTGGCCGTCGCTGATGTTGTTGTTGTCTTTGTTGTTGCAGTGGGCTTGGCCGTGCTCATGCTGCGGGCCTTCGCCAAGCCGCACCGCCGCGGCTTCTTCTGCCACGACGAGTCCATCCGCTTCCCCAAGCTGCCCGACACCATCTCGGACACCATGGTCGCCTTGGGGACCCTGGGCATCCCCACCGTCTTGGTGAGTACGGCCAACGCACGGCGGGGACGGCGCGTAGCGCGCCTGGACGGCAGGCAGCCCAACGAACGCCGCCTTGGCCGCCGTGCGGTAGGCAACCCAACGCACACCGTGCGCGCCCTGCAGCTCCACTGCAACCTTAAGCTGCCCGTAGTTACTTTGGCTTTGGCCAGTTGACTCTTGCGCCGTTGAAATTTGAAGGTTTTGTTGACGTGTATGTCCCCAGATCGGCGTGGTGGAGGTGCTGCGCACGGGGCGCGGCATCCCGAGCGGGCTGAGCTGGCGCGGCGCCGCCGTGCCGCTGTGGGCCGTCCGCGTCTACCGCCAGAACGGCGTCTTCATCTTGGGCGCCGGCCTCACCGAGGTCTGCCTCACACCTGGCGTCACACCAGGCTGCACACAGTGGGCCTCACCAGTGGAGGCGGCCAAGACCCGTTTTGAGCTCTCGAGTCCTTAAAAAGGACTCGAACAGAACGTTTGACCCCACCAATGGATTCCTCGTTCGAAGAGCAATCCATTGGTGGGGTCACACGTTCGCTTCAAGTCCCATTCAGCGACTCTGGAGCTCAAAACGCGTCTAGTATTTTGTCCGCCTCCACCGGTCTTCTGGCCCACTGTGCTGCGACGAGACGCCGCCGTTGTGACGCGTTGTGCTTGCTTGCCCGCAGCTGACGGCGGACCTGGCCAAGAACTACGTCGGCCGGCTGCGACCCAACTTCCTGGCGGCGTGCAACCCCGTCACCTCCGGGGACGCGTCGTCCTTCGCCAAGCTCTGCGCCGCGGCCACGCCGGGCAACCCCGTGTACGTCGCGCCGGGCTCCTACTACTGCCTCGGCGACCCGGACGACGAGAAGGAGGCGCGGGCGTCCTTCCCCTCGGCGCACTCCGTGCTGGCCTTCTACGCCGCCGTCTACCTCGTGGTGAGAAGCGCACGCGCGTCTGTTGGCCGTGTTGGCTGGGACGTTGATGATGACGGCGGTCTTTGCCTGCAGCTGTTCGTCCAGGCGCGCGGCCGGCGCCTGCTGGGTGGCTCGTGCGCACTGCTGCGCCCGCTGCTGCAGTGGCTGCTGCTGCTGGCCGCCTGGTGGATCGCCCTGTCGCGCATCGTGGACCACATGCACCACCCCGGCGACGTCCTGGCGGGCGCCACCATCGGCACCATCTTCGCCTGCCTGCAGGTGAGGCGTCCTGCCTTTCACCGCACTCTTGTCTTAGCGTGACTGTACTGAGGCCGTTTGCTCCACTGCAGGTGTTCCTGGTGAGCGGCTTGTTCGGCCAGGAGAAGCGGTCGGGCGAGCAGCTCGTCGTGCTCGGCACCACCACCAAGACCTACAGCCAGCCCAACTGCGTCTAGGGGCCGCGCGCCACGCCGACGCGCCGCTGCTTTATCTACTGCCCGGCCCTGGAGGGGCAGTTTCGTCTGTGATGCACCAATGAGGTGCCAAGCTATTGTTAATTTCGTGTTTTTATTTTAATGCAATAACTACTTTTTGTTTTAAGTTTAGACGCGTTGAAAGATGGGAGCCGCAAAGTTTTGCCTCGTCTAATTTATTGGGATAGTTTGTCCCTCACATTGTTTTGCCAGTTTATGTTTTAGATAGACGCTCAGATGGCGTGTGCGTCATTATTCTGTCCGATAAAACTTCGACATATCAGTATTGAAACGAAAGTGTATGTATACATTTAATCCAGCATTTTATTAGTCTTAGGACACTGGCGCTCATTTTGCGCCAGTTTTTGTAAAGTGCCTGCAGGATAGAAACGTAGAAACTATAACTTAGCTTAAGATTTCAACTAGGTATTATTTGTGTCATAACAAGTTTATTGTCTTATTTAAGAGAGATCTTTCGGGAATTGACTGTGTGCTTCAGAATATTAAACGTTCACACAGTTAACCAAAACAAAATAAACGGATCCTGTTCTCTTTACCCCCGATTTTCTCACCTCTGCCCCCAGGACGGAGTGCCCCTCGGCCCCTCTTTGAGGACTTCCCCGTCAGTGTGGCGGGCGCGTTCGCCGGCCGCCGTTCTGAAGGGTGAAGTGGCCGCGACAGTGTAACGGAAATTTTGTGTCCCCCGGGGCGACGTCCCGACGGCCTGACGGCGATGGCCTGCGGAGCCTGCGGGTCACTTCCTCCTCGCCTCCGTCTCGAACCTCGGCGCCTCGGCCTGGGCGGCAGGCGGCCTGGGGCAGCGGGGCGCCGGCCGCGTCGGCCTTGTACCTTGTAGTGCCCCGGCCAGCCTACTGGACGCGGCCCGCTGCCTGCCGCCTCGGCCGCCTCCGCCATCACGCCCAGATCACTTACATGACACCCTACCCCACGGGCCAGTGCTGCTCAGTGCTGGCCTGCTGGCGGAGCCTGAGCTTGCCGTGCTCCAGGCAAGTGCTTTCGGGCCTACTCCGGGCCGTGTGTTCCAGCCGGGGGCCTTCTTGGCTTACACTCTCCGTCCCCCTCTATCAGACCACCTCTCTCACACCTCTCTCACTCGCTCCCTGTCTACGCCAAGCCGCACAATGGGCCAGAAGACCGGTGGAGGCGGACAAAACTCTGGACGCGTTTTGAGCTCCAGAGTCGCTAAATGGGGCTCGAACCGAGCGTGTGACCCCACCAATGGATTGCTCTCCGAACGAGGGATCCATTGGAGTGGCCACACGTTCGGTTCGAAGCCTGTTTAGCGATCTGGAATTCAAAACGCGTCGAGAGTTTTGGCCGCCTCCAACGGTCTTCTGGCCCACTGTGCTACGCCAAGCCGCCCGGCTTGCTCCTTCTAGAGGCACAGCCCGGCGGCTTCCGGGCTGGCTGTGTTTCTCTCACAACACGTCGACGCGCGCACACAGCCACACCCACAGTGTGCCTTCATAGGCGTACCGGCGTACTCAAACACACCAACACACAAGCTGCCGCGTTTTCCGGCCTACCCGCTTCGGAATTTCCCGCCGCTGCCGCTCGCTGTTTCCGGCGTCAACATGCCATCACCATCACCCCGATGCCCAATTCGGCCCATTTGTGTTGACTCTCTACGTCCTGCGTGCGAGTGTGTGTGTGTGTGTGTGTGCGCGCGCGCGTGCGTGTGTGTGTTCCCGACACACACTTATTAGTACGCATTTTCCGGCAGCTAAACTCCCTGCAGTCCTGCCCTGCACTGGGCGGGAGCAAAACAAAAACTATTTTTTTTTCCTTCAAAAATCCACGTTTAAAAAGAAAAAGTTATTTTGTGAGTGTTGTTTTCACACGCGCGGTATACGTATTTTAGCGCGCGCTTAAATTTGTGAGCCGCGGGCCGGGCTGCCGGGCCTCCTCTAAATGAACCACATCACATGGGCGGCAGAGCAGGCAGAGCAGGCGGGGCGGACAAAGTGACGCGGGGGAATTTGGCGGGAATGCATTAGCCGCGACTTGCGGCGGAATTTGGAATTTGCAGCGCGGCTCGGCAAAGGTGGCGAAAGTTAAAGTTGAGCCGTGCTAGGCGCACACCGCTTTGGGGGGGGGGGAGGCAAGCAGGGCAGCCGGGGGCAAGTTGAAGGAGCGACCCCGCGGGGAGGGGGGCCTGCACGCCCTACGCCGTCACGCCACGCTTGCGCGCCGGAGACGGATTCCGAAAAAAGTTTTATCGCTCTTTGTCGCACTCATGAGCCGCTCCGTAGGGGTGCGAGGGAGACAGAGCGACGAAACGACGCGGTAGAATTGCTGGGCTGCTGTGGGGGCGGTCCGCGACCCGCGGAGTCAGTCGCCATGGAGATGGCCGTGACACTACACGAGGGCCCCGCTCCGGGTCTGGGGTCGCCGTCCTCGCCGCCCTCCTGGTCGCCGTCGTCGCTGGGCTGCCCTTGGAGGGCGCGCGACCGCCAGGTCAGCACCGCCGTCGGCGCCAGCCTCATCGTCGTCGGTAAAAACAATTACAGTGCGGCGGGGGCGGGAGTCGAACCCGCGGGCTGCAGGCAGGCTCATTCCGAACACTGCTTTCGTCGCGCCGTCTCTCTCGCACTCGTGGGGCGTGTTCCAGGGGTGGGAGAGAGACCGCAGCCCGTTTTTGCCGAGTGTGCCGCCCGGCGCAAGGCTCGGCGTGCGCGGCTGCGAGTTGGCAAAGTCGTGAACCATTCTGTCGCCGGCGAGCAAGCGGAGCAAGTGACTCCCTGCGCATCCCCCTCGCCCCCCTCGCCGTCCACCTCTTGACGCTGGAGCCATTTGGGGCCGAAGTGTCCGGCACTGCGCTCGTACGCGCCCCGCCGGGCCGGCCGGGCCGGCGGGGGTACAGCCCGGCTGAAGTGGGGACACAAGTTGAGGAATTTGTGAGGGAGGCTGGCCGGGACAGGCTGGGACTGCGCACCGGACACAGCTCGGGGCCCCGACCCTCGGCGTCGCAACAAATCAGGCCGTCGGCGTGCCGGGGACAAGCAGTCACCAGTGGGGCACTCGTTGGCGGCGCTGTCGATGCGACGGCCGCTCCAAGGACGCCGAGGGCGCCGAGGACGGCCGGCGCGTGGCGGCAGCGCGGCAGCGCGACCAGGGGTGCATGTTTCGGTGTGTCGTTTGGTTCCCAATCGTTACTTCGTTTCAATCATTGGCACTCGGTGTTTGGTCTGAACGCAGGAGTGTCGGCCGCGGCCGGGCTGTGCTGGCTGGCGCTGCGCCTGGTGGCGGCCAAGCCCCGCGTCGCCACGCACCTCCTGCTGCTGCAGCTGTGCACCGCGACGCTCGTGTGCACCGTCCTGGCGGGCTTCCCCTTCACGGGCACCTCGGCCATCGCGGGCCACTGGCTGTTCGGCGCCAAGGGCTGCACGGCGCAGGCCTTCCTCCAGCACGTGAGTGCACCGTCAACTCCCTGGAGTGCATCGCGCTGCCGGCGCCGCCCTTTGCCGCGTCCCTTTGTGCCGCCGTCCTTCCGAGTTGCTGCGCCACTTCAAACAGCGAAAATGCGAAAATGCGGGACTCGGCGACTAGACGCCCGCGTCCCGCGACAATGCCGAAGATTTCATGGTCAATTTATCGCAGGGAACTTTGACAGTGGCGATAAGGGGACAAAGGAGCGCGGCAAAGGAAGCCAAAAAAAATGGCTCGCTGCAGGCGGTGGAGGAAACGGAGCAGAATGTAGAGAACAGAAGACGAAAAGACAGCACACAGACGGAGGACCAGAGGACGGCGCAAAGCGAACGGAACTAACAGGTGGCCTCGCTGGCGCTGCTTGCCTTGCTTTGCGCAGATGGGCGTCGCGGTGCAGCTCTGGACGCTGGCGGCCCTCGCCCTGGAGCGCTGGATGTACTCGCGGCCCGCGCCGCCCCCCGCGCCGCCCCCAGCCGCCCACTGGTACGCCCGCGCCCTCGCGCTGCCCTGGCTGCTGGGGGTGGCCGTGGCCGCGCCGCCCCTGCTGGCTTGGGGAAGGTAAGGGTCTTGCAGTCGGCAGTGCCGGCGCCCCCCCCCCTCTCCCCCTTCCGGGGCCCTCGGCCTCGGTGTGTGATTTACAGCACGGCAAGTAGTGTCACGTCCGCGCCAAATGTCGGCATCCGCGGAAGGCAAGTTGCTCGGCGAGTGCTGCCTGCCGCCCCTGCCGCGCCATTCCGAGGAATCGTTTCGTCGCTCTGTCTCTCTCGCACTCCAACGCACCGCGTGAGTGCGACAGAGACAGAGAGACGAATCGGCTCTTCGGGACGTGCACGCTGCTGCCTCGGCGCCGGCCGGGTGGCCTCGCCGTGGCGCACGCGCGCGCGTTGGGTTGCCTACCCTGCGGCCGGCGGGCGCTCGCGGCGTGACGGCGTGGCGCGCCTCCGTCTCGGTTGACTAACCTGATTGCAACTCTTGTCTAGCTTCGGCTGCGACCCGTCCAGCGTGTGGTGCTCCGTCAAGTGGGGCGTCGTCGGCGACGGCCGCAGCAGCAGCGGCCACTTCGCCTACGTCCTGTTCGCTCTGCTGGTCGGCAGGCTCGTCCCGGCTGCAGTCACGTACGTTTTATTTTCCATCTCGCTCCAGTGCCCCGCAGTGCTCCGGGACTCCGGGGCCCAAGGCCTCGGATTCGGCACACTTACATCACGCGCGGAGTTTGGTTGGACCCGGTCCCGGTTTTACTGCTCAATCTGACGTCTGGCCGACCAGATCCCCGGCCCCGCCTGTAACATTGATGCGCCCTGCAGGACGTGGTGCCTCTGCGCCACGGGCGTGGCGGTGTCGCCCCTCGCCAGGACTAGCGCGGCCACGGCCTCGGCCTCGGCGGCGTCCACGCACGCAGCGCTCACGTCGGTAAGTTGGCAACCTGGGGGAACTTTGGCCTCTCGGCAGCACTGCCATCGTGTCCCCGCCCTTACGGTGTGCCGTGCCCGGCCGTGCCTGCAGGTGGCGCGCTGGGCGGCCGTGGGGCTCCTGCTGCTGCGGACGCCGCGCCTCCTGCTGGACATGCACCTGGCCGCCATGGAGCTGTCCTGGGACCGCGCGCCCGCCGTGCTGTCGTACATCGCGCCCTTGACGGACGAGGCGAGCGCCCTGGTGCTGCCGCTGGTGACCGTGACGGTGGACCGGTGCCGGCGGCGCGCGTCCGTGTCCAGGTCGTCCGGGTCGTCCCCCGGGGGGTTTTTGGGCGCCCCCCCAACACTGAGCCCCCTTGGGGGAAACCTGAGGGACCGGGCCCGGACGCTTTGCGGCGAAAAAAGGGCCGCGTCTTTTTCCGCTGATTCGCCTCGCCCCCTGTTAGCCCACTTCGGGGGAAAGTGCGGCCCCCATTTGGTCCTGACATTCGTTTCCCCAAAACGGAACTAAATAGTGCAAACCCTCGGCCCGTTTCCCCCAGCGCTGATTTCCGACCCTCGGGCTTCCTTTCCGTTTGCCACACCCCTGTCGCGGGAGTGCGGCCACCATAAGCTTGGGGCCCTCGGTGACAGTGACCTTTGTCTGTGCGCCCCCGTAACGCGTACCACCAGTGTAACCCGTAGCCCCTCGGCC